ATATATATATATATATATATATATATATATATATATATATATATATATTAAAAATGAGAGTATTTGGAGACATTGCCAAGCCATTTCTCTTTGTAAATTTTAGATCATATGATCTAAAGTATTTAAATATTTTTGATCTCGTTCGATTCAATTCACAAATAAGATCATTTCAACTACAAAATAATGGGTTGTTAAATGGATGGAAGCTGAATTTATTGGTTGTTGCGGAGTCAATTGACCGATTGGGCAATAGGTCGCAAGAGAGGACGATGCGCCGAAGAATCGGACGAAGCGTCGAGGGACCAATGACATGCTGGACAACATGATTAATGCTTAGTATTAATTGTCTAGATCGAAGTATGTTTTTACATGTGCAGGATTAACTACGATAGCAAGACATAAAGTAAAATGAAGTCCCGGAGTCAAGGGCGCGATTTCGTTGGGAGTTCAAGAGTTTGTCGGAAGTCCAAACATTCGTCGGAAGTTCTACAGGAACTAACCGAGAAGTCCAGGAGCTTACCAAAGAAGCTCATCGGAACTCGCCAAGAAGATCATCGTGAAGTCCAGGAGCTTGTCGGGAGTCCGCTGGAACATTGCCGAGAGATCGTCGGAAGTTCGTCGGAAGAAACTAGACTTATGGACTTGTTTAGCTTAGAATATGTCTTAGGAATCATAGTTAGTACGTAATTAGGTTTGGATTTGGGTCAACCCAATTAAGGGCCAGTTGGGCCCATGTAAGGACTGTGTTGGGCTTAATGAAAGACCCAAACAGTGACCTAAGAGGTGGTATCGTCGTGACACAATCTTCGAGACTATGTCAGGCGGTAGTACTACCCAAACATAGCCTCCGAGAGGCTACAAGTGGTGGTACCGCTAGCGTGGGCAGTGGTAGATGCTGAATGAATGAGGATTGTAGATGCTGAATGAATGGCTTAGAAAAGATTCAATGAGATCTTTTACTGAAAGTATTTCAGTACAACCTACCGATCAACCAAAATGGAAGAATTTATTAACCTTAAATAAGAATGTGAATTGGTGATAGATTACAATAAAAAGTTTTAGGAGTTATCCTGAATGAATGAGGATTTTCACCTCATAGATCATAATAAAAAGTTTGAGGAGTTATCCTGAATGAATGGGATTGTACAAGAAGGGGGATTGTAGATGCTGAATGAATGGCTTAGAAAAGATTCAAGCTCTTGGACTACACGATGATTTTCTTGGCAAGTTCCGATGAGCTTCTTTTGGCAATCTCCAGGACTTCTTGGCTGGTTCCTGCAGAACTTCCGACGAACGTCTGGACTTCCGATGAACTCTCGAACTCCCAACAAAATCACATCATTGACTCCGGGACTTCATTTTACTTTATACTTTGCTATTGTAGTTAATACACAAATGTAAAAACACACTTCGATTTAGACAATTAATACTAAGCATTAATTATATTGTCCAGCATGTCATTGGTCCCTCGACGCTTTGTCCGATTCTTCGGTGCATCGTCCTCTCTTGCGGCCTATTGCCCAATCAGTCAATTGACTCCGCAACAACCAATTATTTTAGTAAGATCTTTTACCGAAAGTATTTCAGTACAACCTACCGATCAACCAAAATGACATAATTTATTAACCTTAAATAAGAATGTCAATAAGTGATAGATTACGATAAAAAGTTTGAGGAGTTATCTTGATTTTCATCCCATATGATTAGCACTAATGTCTTGAGGATAGATCAATTTCTATAAGGACTCAGAGCAAAAATTTATTAGGATATGAAGATAATAATGAATGCACTAGATATTTCATATCCGGTACACAGCAAAAGAATATAAAATAAAATCTTTAATTTTTAAAGATTTATTCGTCGTTATGCGAAGATTGATACATAAAAATGTACGGATTTGCTAGCAACCAATTATAAAGTGGTGAAATTGGGTTCCTTCTAACATATAGCGATGACTTTATTGTGTTTGCTAGCAATGGGTGAACTATCCTGCATAGTACAGCTGTTGCGGTTTGTCAAAGTTTCATGACTGCTAGAGATATGGGATGAAGAAAATTCACGTTGAAGTAGATGCCCAATTCTTGATACAAAACAAGGAGACTCCTTCAACTATCTCTAATCTATTGTATGCATCATATACAAATAAGGAGGCTAATTACTTGATTAATTGGCTATCAAATATTACTAGCATAAGTTCACAAGAAATTATTTTCATATAATTTTATCTTTTTGGAGTTTATGAGCGTCGAAATACAGTGACGCAGGTTGCTTATAAGTTTTTAGTTTTCTTACTCCTTAATTAATATGAGAGTGTTAGTTTTAAACTTATTTGATTGAAGAGAAATAGTTGCACGTGTATAACTTTATAATCTACTTTGTTTTCTTAAAAAGAAAGTTTGAAAATAACTAAAATACTTTTTAACTCTTTATTTATTATAAAAAATACTTCAACTGAGCATTTGAGTAATATATATTATAAGAATAAAATAGAGCAAAACTTGCATGCACATTAAGCTACGACGATCTTATCATTTTCTTTTATTATATAAAAAATATTTTATAATATTATGTATAAGTTTTATATGTTTAACAAAATATATTATTAATTTTTTAATATAAAAATATTAAATTTATAATTCAATCGAATTGACCCACTGATTCGACTAATGATTGGAATTACATCCTCCCTCCCTTGCCAAAAGAATGAGAAGCAGAGCAAGTAACTAAATAAAAGATAAAAGTCTCCAATCAATCCTTCATGCAAATCTAAAATGTTCCTTATAAAAAATAGAGGCCATATCCCAATCGATCTATATTCCATGTCATTGTAGATGGACATGAAAATAATATTGCAACAACCTCCCAAGAAGGTCACCAGTCGCTTGTCAAAAGGAAAAAGGAAAGGTCAGAGATTAAAAGATCAAGTTAATGGGGAAGACAAGACATCACTGTTTAAAGTTGACCTTTGTCCTTGTTGTTTGGTGAAACATACACTTTCTTCCACCTCACTGCTTTATCTATTTAGGTTGATGAGCAGATGAGAGTAGCAATGCCTCTCACTTATTTAAGGATAAAGACATCAATCTCTCCCTATCTCTCTTTTTTTTCTCAAAAAAATAAAGTGATATATGGACTCAAATTTAAAATCTATCAACTAAATAACAACATGCTAATAATATAATCAAAAAAATTATAAATCTGAGTGTTGCCTAATTGAAAAAAATGCTATTATTGCACAAACAACATGTATGTACTAAAAATATAAAAATTACTTTAGGTATTTTGTAGATGTATATAACATAAATAAGTTGATTGTAATTGTATACACATTTATATCTAAAAAATATAATGGCAAAATATGTTATTTCCAACCACACACACACAAATATATATATATATATATATGTATATATATATATATATATATATATATATATATAACCACCTAGTACGGGCGGTACGTACCGGTCGGACAGGTTGTCGGTACACGGACCGCCTGTTATCGGTCCGAGAGTACTGTAGCATTGTAGCAGTGCTACAGTACTCGACATACATGGGTGTACCGCTCGGTATACCGTACCGTACCGGTACCGAGCCCAGATCGAAATACCGGTACGATACGATATATATATATATATATATATATATATATATATATATATATATATATATATGGCTGTGTGGGTAAAAGTCCCAAAATGAGAACAATAAGTCTCGAGGGGGTATTGCAAAATTTACAGGATGACGCGACATCGGATAAGAAAAGGGTGTTTTGGTAAATGTGCGGAGAGATGAGCAGTTCCGCCGCGACGATGGCGATGCGGTGGCGACGGGTTAAGAAATAGGCTTGGTTCGGTTCGGCGTCGTGCGATCACGCGGATTAGTCGTGGGAGATCCCGTCACCGACGGTGAGCGCCGCTGCTCTTCGCGCTGGCCCGCCTCCGTTAGCTGACGGTGTTAACCTCGGGGGCAGTTATATATTAGGGGAACGGTCGATGTCGGCTCCGAAGTGGCCGAGGGGTAGGAGAGCGCGGACGAAGGCAGCGGTGGGAAGGACCCTCAGGGCGAGCTTAAGATCTCCCGGATCGGTGCTCGGAAAGGGATACGTAAGTAATCCCAATCGATCTCCTCCGTCTCGATCCTGTTCCGATTCGTGTGTGGTGGATTGCTTGGGGGATTTTATTGGGAGAGTTGGATCTGCGGTGGGTCTGAGATCTGATGTTCTTGTCCGAATTTTCTGTTGATTTTTGTCTCCATTTTGAGTTTCATCCACTTTTGGTTGGACGCGAAAAGGGTTTCGGATATGTTTTGGAGTAAATATATGGCATTTGTTGATGTTCATGGAATGTGGTTTCTGCTGTTAGATTGATTCGTTCGTTCTGATGCACACTTCTCTGTAGTTTCTCATTGGCTTGCATTGTATTGTTTTGTTTGGGGATTCCTTCAGTAAAATATTGATTCGAGTGAAATAGGGTAATGAGTTTGGCCATTGCCTCTCGTCTTGAAGAATCCTATAGTGGGCTATTACTTTTGTGTGATTTGGTCCCATTTGCGTTGTCATTTGGTGTACTTTCTTTCAGAAGAATTGCTTGTGTGAGTGGTTTGGTACCTCTTATTAGGTAAATGTAAATGCATTTATTGGGTGTCTTTAATGGATGGTTGAATGGGTATCTTTGATGATTGATTGTTCTATTTCCCCTAGCCAAAAGCAAGTTACTTGTATCAGAATGTTGCTCTCCTGTTGAATGCTTTGGATGGTGAGGTTTTTAATGAAACATGAGCATCATCATGCTTGGTAGATTTGTTTAGAATTTCCCAGCAATATCTATCTGTTCTCTGCATGATGTTGCTGGGATCTCAAGAGAAAGAGTTTTTTGGTCATAATGAACTTAAACATCTAATTTAACCACCTCATAAATCCACAAGTATAGGATTCTATACAATCATAAAATTAACATTTATCGCATGTTCATATCATTACACAAATTAAACTTAACATTTTAAAATCGTAAACATGAGAGATCATAAGTTCAGATTTATCATCAATATTTCATTAGACACCAAGTGTACGTATACAACAAAAACATATCATCCACTAAAGGTTTGCCCCAAAAACATATATATATATATATATATATATATATATATATATATATATATATATAGTTTTATAGATTACCTAGACAACTCAGGATAAAGATAATGCATGTCATTTGCCATCTTATATTTTGATATCATTGGCAAATTGCTTTAAGTTTTTTTTTTTTTTTGTATACTCTTGGCAGTCTTGAAAGTCCTTTTTGCTGTTCCACATATTGTACATTTTGAGTAACCATTTTCTATTTTCCATATTCTCTTGCTGCTTTATAAGTTATCCAGATAGTTTGCCATAAATATTTTGGACCTTGTCTGCCGTGTTATTCTGATAGAACTAGTATGTTACTTTATATTAAAATATTTCTTTCTAAGTATTCTGGACACAATTGGAAGTTCTCTTCAATGTTCCACATGTTGCAGATTCTGGGAAGGTCATTTTCCTTCTTTAGCTGTATTCTCTTTCTGCTAAACGTGGAAAAAAGCTATTACTTCCATGGTTGCCTAGATTTTAGGATAGAGTGAATGATACACAGAGCTGGAATATTCAAGAGCAATATTTCCCTTAGTCTCATTACATTGTGGAAAGCTACAAGCCTACAAATATATAGAAATGCCTGTTGAGTCAACATTATTTATAAATATTATCTGCATTCAGCAGACATCACAATCTAGCGGAAGATGACCAATCACTCTTATCTGAAGTATTTGCTTGACTGTTTCCGCATATTTCTATCACTCTTTAATTACAGTTTCTTCATTTTGTTTTTGTTTGTAGAAGCGACCAAAGAAATGCCACACTAAATTGCACGTGCAATTCTACTTTGGAAGACTATAACGCTTTGATTTCATATACACTTCTTTATTAATATTACAGATGAGATGTTATTTTATGTTCATATGATTGGTAATTATCTGGTTTATCTTTTGGCTATTAGAATCATATATGTTGTTTGATCTTTCTACCAATCACTTGTCAATGCAGAAATTTAATTTGTATGGTTCACTTTTTGCAGTCCAATGGGTAAGGAAATTACAGAAGTATCAATTGATGAACAAACAGATTTTGTCATGAGTGCACACAATGGTAAAATTATTCAAATTAGCCCTCGCAAACCTTCCACGGTTGCTGGGTCATATGAAGCTACAGATAACAATCAGGATTATGCAAATTTTCATGTGGTGCATGTAGTACCTCGTATTAGAAATTTGAGTTTGGATCATGACATGACAGAAAAGAAGTATGGTGACCAGAAATCATTAAAACAGAGGTCAGCAGCATCCAATTCTGCTAATGTAACTGTACGATCTAACCACACTGTTCCTCAGCCATTTGCTCTTGCAACTGAAAAGCGTGCTTCTGGGGGGGCTCGTGCTTTTGTTGCTGAAGCTCCTACCAACGGAGACAGACATCCTAATGAAGATGTGCAAACAGCAAACAACCAAAAGAAGGTTCAGGTCTTTTCTTGTTGCTTTCTATGCCTTATTTTTTCTTCAACTATTGTCATAACATGCTTCGATAGTCAATATAATGTATCATTTCACAGTTTTGTTTGCAAAATTTACTATGAAAACTATAAAGCTTTTATTGCTCTTGGGTCTAATATTCCATATATCTACTATTTAGGTGTTATATGCATGTCATGTGCAATTTATCATTTTTGTCTGATCAGATAGATTTTCTTCTATATTTGACTTGTTCTAATTAGTCTTCATGTAAAACCGCATATTGTTTTTCTTTTCTGTCAAGATTGCATTATGTCTCCTAAAGCCCCTTGCTTAGTTGCTGATTCTTAGAAGTTCAAAGGCACCATAATTCAGACTACAAATGCATCAAATTAAGTACTATATCTTCATGATTTATCTTGTACAACATCCTCAATAATATTGTAGGTGAAACCTTTCTATATTGGTTTGCGAAATAGCTGTTCTTGATAGCATTTAAATTGTTGTGTGAAGATACTTTAGCACATCCTAAGATTGGATCATGGAACTTTTTCTTATAGTAGTTCTGCAATATGATTACAGAGTAACTTGACATTCACATCTAGAAGGCCGTTGCATCCCAATGAATTGATGCACCCAGATGAAGAGGATTCTAGCTCTGTTAACTCTCTGTATCCTTTTTGCAACTTCTGTTTTTTGAAATTTAATTGCGTTCTTTGCACAAAAAGTTATATTCACTTTTCCTGAGCTACTTGTAGTACCATACCATCTGTAAGAAATTTGAAAGTCAGTAAAACGGTGGCACTTGCTCCTTCATTCAGATGCAGTGAACGTGCAGAGAAGCGGAAGGAGGTACTTTATTTACTTATTATTTAAGAATTACTGAACCTTGTATACTCTTTGACCTTTAAATGTAATTTTATTTTCCTCCTACTGTGTAGTTCTACTCGAAATTAGAAGATAAACACCAGGCTCTGGAAGCAGAGAAACTCGAATGTGAAGCTAGGACGAGGGTATGCATTGGTCCAGCTATTATTCTCGAGAGTAATGGTTCAAAAGAAATAAGCTTTGTTGTTAATATATTTCCATTTTGGAGTATCATGGTTAGCCATGAATTTTCTCTGCCCATGGAATCATTGCACAGCATGTATAACTTTCATGTCTTGGTAGTTTACCTTGCAACTTGTAGACCTTTTAATTTCTCTTGTTTGAATCATACATAACTAGTAGCATTTGTGAATATTCTTCTATTGGTCTCTTTACCATCACTTTGGTGTCACGGCGAGACATGTATAGGGTGAACTGTGATCTTATAATCGTTGGAACCCAAATAGTTTTTTTGTTTGTTTGTTGTTTAAACTTTAAGATGATTATTCCTTATGTGACATGCTTGTGAATCACTTTTGAGCTGAACAAGTTCTGGTTATCATACCTTGGAGTTAGTTTCTCATCTTGACTTCTGGTATTTTTCAGGAAGAGCAAGAAGCTGCACTAAAGCAACTAAGGAAGAGCTTGAATTTCAAAGCAACACCAATGCCTAGCTTCTACCATGAGGGGCCTCCACCTAAGATTGAACTAAAGAAGGTATTTGGGTTAGGTTTTTACTTAATAAATAGTTAATTCAAGTATTCAACTAAGTCATCACAAATAATAAGCCATTGGCTGGACAAGTTGAATCTAGTATGATCAGATAAAGCTAAACTTGCCAAGGTTGTTGACAGGTAACACAATGCTGATCTCAGTTCTGTTTCCATAGTAAAATTTTCTATTGTAGTAGAGGCTTGAGTCAAACAGATAAAGCTGCATGCTAGATCAGCTTAACTTCATCTCATCGAACATGAAGTTTCCATGAAGTTAAGATAAAGCTACATTTGGACGAGAAAGACAATTGCATCAACATTAACACATGTTCTTTTATGTTCAGACATGGTAAGGACTTATTAGACTGTTATGCTTGACTTTTGACAATTTTCTGAGGCGATTAAGTTATTTGTTCTGCTTGTTGGTAAGAGTTACCATATTGGCATGCAACTGCACATGTTTTGCAAATGATGGAAAAAGGAGTAACCTTGCCACTTCTGAAACCCAATACATAAAAATAGGTGCAATTAATTGAAAAGCCCATGTTTTTGGTGGATTGATTCTTTAATGTTTAAAAATAGACAACCTACTATGTTGCTTGGATTTGGTTAAGATGGGTTATTCGGTATGGATATGAAACATTTGCATTTGATGTGGCTCTTCAAATTAAGGTGGGTATGTTCTGCTGTAAAGGTATAAAGTTTTTGAAATGAAGTATCATCAAATATGATTATTTTAAAACTATTTCTATCTTTTAAATATTCTGAAGTAAACTATAATTTTAATATCAAACATTATCTTTCTTCCATTTATTCTTTTGTTTCTCGTTCCTTCTCTCATATTCTTTATTCTCTTTACTGGATGGCTAGGATGTGATTTTTTAAATTGTTGAAAAATCAAATTGGAAGGGATCTGGGATTTAATTCACCAGTCTTAAATTGGTTGAAATTCCAAAGGGTTATGGCATTATGCCTTCAACTTTTTAATGTCTTCAGCAATGTGTACTGGTGTAGGAATCAATGATAAACAAATAGCCTAAGATGCTCCCCTTGTCTTCTACCTCATCCTTGTACTATTTTCTTTTTGTTGGTCATTATTGACTAGAATTGGCAGGGGTTGACAAGGAATTTTCAGGACTAGCCTAGTAGAATCGAGTCCATGGTGGGTCCAACCAATTACGATAGTATCAGATCACACCCTATACTGTCACTTGTGTCATGTTGACTCAAGGGTAGTGCGTTGCACGTAGCTCCTGTCAATCTGAGTTTGGGAAGGTCATATGCAGTGATGCAGTCTTACCCTACAAATGGCTATTTCTGACCTGAGCGTAGATTATTCAGGTTGCATGTGTTGTAAAGTTTGGAGAGGGTCAATATAAGTAGTCTTATCTTTGCAAGCAAAGAGATTATTTAGTTGCTCAAGTCAGAAAGGAGCAAACCTTCCCATGGTGCCTAGGATCACTCTCTTATGTAGACTAGGTATAGTGGGGCAATTTGTTGGTTCTGAACATGCTAGAAAATGAATATTCAGTTTGATCACTCTTCGCATGATATAATATAACATTTCATATGAAGTTCCCAGCCATAGCCTGTTACTAATATCATTTACACTGGATTAACTCTGAGTAATATTCTTATTTGCTATCTAGGTTTGATCTTTATTTTGTAAATCTTGGCATTATTTATGAAGAAAAGTTTCCTCTTCATGTTAAGTTCAATTTTTTTTTTTTCAAACAAAAACTATCAAGAATATGTCAAATTTATACCGAAGGTACTATGTGATTTCTTCCATCCATCTGAGTTACATGGTCTTTTACTGACTGTTCTCAATTTTCTCCAACATTTTTATGTGCTGTGCGTGTAAGATTGTTTACGTTATGAATCTTGCCTAAAACTACTTTTATTCTTGGATAACAAGGTGCCTCCAACTCGTGCTAAATCACCCAAGCTTGGTCGAAGGAAGAGCTATGGCGACGCAAGCAATCTGATTGGAGATAACTGCAGTAAAGCATGTGATCGGCATCAGCATCGCAGTTTAGGTACTAGCAAGGATTCCCCAACCAAATCACAGACCAGCCCCAAGAACATGAACATGACGATCAAAGCCAAGGAAGGTGCCAAATCGACTAGAGAAAGCTCCAAGCCCTATGCCGAGAAGGCAGCTGCTCATGCTACCAGTGTTATCACTGTGCAGCCCTAAATGTTTGCATTTTCATGCCCTTCTGATCTAAATTTTTCCTTGCATCACAAAATTTACATGATAATTTATTCCGACATTCTCAAGTGTCAATTTGTTGACGTTTGGTAACCAATGTGAGGAGTTAGCATCAGCGGACTTAAGACGTATGATGTAAATTTTTGTACGTATGTAATGATCCTGACATTTGTGTGAACTGCTGCTGGAATTACTCGTCTCGTGTTTGTATCGTTCATACTGGCAACGATACATTCTCACAAGTCAAAAGTTGTAGCAGAACATTTGCTACTTGTAATTGCGGCAACACATGTTTGCTGATCACTAGCATTTTTGACTTTTCGAAAACACATAGTTAAGCTTTTTTAATAGCACGGTTTTTTGACGTTTTGGGATTTATGTCTTTTAGTTGTCTTATTGATTTAATAGTATATAATGCAACATACGTTTTTTCATGGCAAAAAAAAAAGTGAAGTGTGCACGAATTAAGATATCTTTATGGTCTAATTCATAGGTCGAGATTTACAATTGAAGTCTTGGCTTTTATTATACAATACATGATTCTAAGTATCTGTTTTAATTGTAAGTTGGCATCTGTTCCATGCGTTCTTTCTTTTGGAACAGATAATGGATGAGGAGAAACATCCATGCCAAATTCGTTGAAGGCTCCATGTTAAGCTTGACGTGTATCATCAATCTCTGCATGTTCTTGGAAAGTTGAATCTTACTAAAACCGAAGATTAGTCTGTTAATGTTTCATCTCTGAAATCAAAAGTTCATGATGCACTTGGAATTCCTGGGATGCATCACGGGCTTCGAGCGACAGAGCACGAGGCTCCCGTTGACGGTGACTATCTTAATTTCTCTTTAATATTTGCGAGGAAGAGAGAGTGTTGTAAGATACATAATTTACTATTTACAGTGGGGCGACGACGCAATTGACATACTGTTTTTGACTGTAAACAGTATTAATTATTTATAATAAGGCTGTGTCATCAGCTGGATGGGTTTGGTATAATTCCATTGGCAGCAGTGATTTTTGCGTTAGGCAGACGAGTGCCAATGGACTTGGAAACCGGCGAACCTCACTTTGTCCACACTATATCTATCCCGCACCTATCTCCGGAGTCTTCGTCACAGAGTGGCTCTTTGGGACGGTAAGCCAGCGTCACTTTCTCCTCCTCCTCCTCCTCCTTCTACATCGCCTTCTCCCATGTCACTGCTTGTGTAGGCAATGTCCTAATATATCCATTCACCTCGTCTCCAGGTTGCCTTTCCAATGTTACAGAAGCAAATTAAGTAGGAGTACTTGGGCAAGCAGCAGAAACCCGGCGCTGGATCGAGGAACATGACGTACGCTGATACTAGAAGAAGAGGAGGTCGTGTCACTCTCGTTTGCTTTTCCGCCATGTTCTGGTTGCTGGTATCGCAGTCCATCTGGTCCGGGCGACTCCAGGGCACCTTCAATGGGGCGTCCGGTTGTGTTATTACTTCGTCTACTGGTTCAAAGAATTGTCTTGGGAACTCGTCGCCGACCACGAACGCCAATCCTCCTCCCACAAGCACTGACCCGTACAAGAAGAGAGTAAATCCACCCGCACACTGACCTTCTACAAGTATGGCGTGATGGCGCGGCTTTGATGCCCTTTCACCACTATGTTTCCCGGTAGTATTTGTCATCGAGTGTGAGAAAGAGTGATGTTACGGTAGGCAACTCAAGTTGGTTGACCGTTGAATCTATGTTTTATTTCTCTGTTAGATTTTCTCGTTAAACGTCAACAATAAAAAAAAAAAACCCTTTTAACTTCTGCTCAGCACAGGATTTTCCTTTTCCGAAAAACAGCTCCTTTTTTCTCTTTTTCAGTATTACAATTTCTTTTAGTTAATTACGTTAATTAACTTACGAAATTAATAAGTATTATTATCGAGTTTCATTACTGTTTGTATGTGATAATATATGACTCAACTTATTGTTTTCGTACCAATAAACTTGTTCCTAATCTATTATAATATATGGTGAAAATAAGTAAGGTATTAACATGATAGAAGATCACGATAAAAGATCGATCAGGCACATATGAAAATCTAATATTTAAAGATTAATTATGGATTTGAGTGACTCGTCTAAGCTTGTATAAATAAATAAAATCAATTTCTTTCATAACCTCTTGCCTCAAGCAAGACTTTCTCTAGCAATTCCTTGTCTCTATTAATTGTTGTTATCGATTTCCTCCTCTACTTTCTGTTGGTTCTAGTTGTTGATTGCCGACGAGCAGGACATCTCGTTGATCTGCTTCTTCCGCAACGAAGCTCCCTCTGTCACTGAACTGTTACGAACTTAGCTGGATTTACTTAAATTATGCGGCACCCTTGTGTATTCATCCGTAAATGTCAGTCTCTCCGAAACCTCCCATGGTCCCTTAGGACCTACAAAATAGAAAACGGATCAGAGAGAACGTCTCACTCGGGATCCACAAGTAAACATTTCTGAAAACACTGTTTTCATAAACAATGCAAATTACAAACAAACTTTATAAGCTCTGAACAATTACACAACAAAGAGTTAAAATGATCCATTACAGATCGAAAATCTTTCACACGAGTCCACGTCACATAATTTTTTTTCACAAGAAGCAACCAAGAAAAGTCACGACATCACATCACCCACTCCCTTTCACTTTCATGAAAACTTGACCTGCAGCGTCAATGCATAGAGTCTATTTCATGGAAATGGCACTACTCCTTTCCGGTAAACGTTCAAATTTAAGACCGGATATCATTGTCTACCCACGTAAGAAGCAACGAGGAAAAGTCACGACATCACATCACCCACTTCCACTTTCATGGAAACCTGGATCTACAGCTTTAATGCGTAATCCTTCCTAGTATTTCCGAACCAATGTTTGTTTATAAGCACAAAGCAGGCACAAAACAAACCAACAACAACAGCAGCAGCAGAAGAACTGAATTAGTGGCAAAAAGAATTATCTATAGATAAGATCAGAAGACAGTCACAATGTGACTGCCAAGCTAAGGTCTAATTCTGAGTTAGAAGAGATTATATTTAGTCCCATATGACTTTTTTAACTCAATGACTTTTTAAGAGTATTGAACGGATAATCCTTTAGATTTTAGAAACTACATGATGGATAATGAGAAGTTTACTCTTTCTTAAACTTAAGGAGTTTAAAAGATGAGAAAAATATTACGTAAATAATTTATTATCTTTTTGTTTTTCATGGCCATGACATGATTGTTCGTACGAGTCTCTGAGACTGCTTTCATTATAATAAATTTATAGGATTGGAAATTAGCCACTAAAGTCCAAGTCTTCCACGAAAAGAAGTGCGGATGATCTAATGGTCTCAATGGCGTATTTGGCACGCAAACACTCGAGTCTAAGTCTTCGAGTGCTCGGAATTATGACTCCAATTTAAATCGTTTGAAATTTGCATCATAATAATTGGATTTTTGTGGAATAATAAGTCAGCGTCCCTTTCTCCTCCCTCCAACAGCTTTCGCCAACGACCCTCATGGCTCCATCGAATGGAGGAAGAGCACGGATGTCGTGAGCGACAACTGAAATCCTTCATTTTCACACATATTTCCATGATGTCTCTTCACGATACAAGCGAAAAATGAAATTAAAGGTATTATCTGATGTTCTTCCTTAAACTTAATTTGCTTACACTATTGCATTCCAAGGAAAATCTCCCATTTGAAGAATAATTTCGGATTGAGGAGTCTGCCAAAAACATCAGCAACAACAACTAATTGATCATCCCATTTGATGTTGCATCCCGATGGAATCTCCTTCTTCTTGAAATAATCTTCACTGGGGCACGGCGTACTGCGCGTTTAGGCCGAACATTACTATCCTATATGTGGCTAATAGTATGTAGGAACTTGCAGACGACTAAACTATGAAAACTTTCCACAAGAAAATTGGTGCAGTCAATCACTCACGCCCCTGGAGAAGTCTTTGAAATGTTGCACACGATTCTTCTGATAAGGATAGAGCCAGCCATGTATTTATCCACATTCATCGTCGCGTCGCGAACAGTGGGCAAGCGTGGGAGCCTTGCAGCAGGTGTTTCCATCATCACCAGCTCCTTAGGCTCCTTCAACTCCTCCTCCTTCGCCTTAGACTTCACCACCTGATATAACCTTCTGTGTATTTACTGTCTTCTGCAGGCTACCTTTCCAAACCTATACAAGCAAAAGCGAACGAGTGAGGAGCATGGCGTCTCATGATAGTAGAAGAAGAAGAAGAGGACTTGCCGTTCTCGCTTTCGTTGCCTCCATGTTCTGGTTGCTGGCATCGCAGTCCATTTGCGACGGCCGAGTGTTGAACTACTCGATTGATCCGAGCTTGTGGTTGGCGCATCGTCAAATAAGCTATGGTCCATTGGGTTGCAGTACGCCTCGTGGTAAAAAGAAGTGTCATCCTCCTGTGAGGGTCACGGACCCTAAACCTCATCAACCGGCCACAATTGCAGTACCAACTCCGCCTTAACCAAGCATAACATGACGGCCGGCCTTTCAAGTCCTTCCGCCACCACCACCACTACGTCTCTCTCTCTCTCTCTCTCTCTCTCTCTCTCTCTCTCTCTCTCTCTCGTCCATGATCTATCATGTGTCTATGACATGTACGACATAATTAAAATAAATTGGATTATTGTGTTATCATGGTATTCTGGTACTTCTACATATCTATACTCCAACTCCAAACCCAATCTGAAGTCAGATTTGCTTCAGTATTTTTCAACACATAGTGCTGCGCGTTCCACATTTCGCGGTCAACATCGACGCCATAATAGAGCATTGCCTCATAAACCTAATCGCAACATGCATGGAGAAGTACATGTACTTCACCCAGCTACCTGTATTCCCTCAGCAGTGCATGTACATATACAAAGGGCAACAGTGTAATGGTTCAAAATTTTCATTGAGGACTTAGTTTTAAAGACAATAATTGCAGTGACTAAAATGCAAAAAGGATAAAAAGGAAAAACACAACGATTTTCTTCCCAGCTCTCACGAGGCTGCCTGCGTGGGAGCGTGTGGGAGAGAAAGGAAAACGAAGAGGAGAAGGGGAGGAGGAAAGAGAAGAGGAAGAGTAGGAAGAAGAAAGGGGTGAGAGGAGAAAAAGGCTTTAGGTCTCGGCTGTGAGAAGGAGAGAGGAAGCAAAATGAGAAGAAAAGACGGGGAAAGAAAGAAGAAGAAGAAGAAGAGGGGAAAGGAGAAGAGGGGGAGAAGGGAATGAAGAAGAGGAAAGAAAGGGCAGAGGGGGATCTGCAGTGACCG